GGGATTACAAGCATGAGCCACTGTGACCGGCCCTAAAACATATTTTTACTTCAACTGTTTGAACATATTATCTTACAGAACTTGCATAATAAATAGGGAGAGCTTCCAGGCTGGGCCACAAAAGTGCATTTAAGAATAATGCAATTGATAACCATAAATTTAAGATGTACACTGTAGAAAAGAATACTGTTAGATTATTGACATCAAACAACAAAATATAAATTGAACTCAAAGATGTGTTTTTATGTAACTTGGGTGGCCACACTTGAAAGAATCTTTGGATTCTTCCAGGTGACCTCATAGCTGGTGTCCCATCCTACACCAGCACCCATGTCCCTCATTCTTGACTTGTTAGGTCTTCTCTTTGTCATTTCCCTTCCCTTTTGCCAGGTACAGACTTTGTCATCTATCCCTGCCTTGCTTCTCTGAGAGCTGAGGCCTCTCCCACCTCTTTCTTGAACACTATGGCCATTGCAAAATATTCTCTCATGTTTTTTGTTTTTACCTAAAAATAGAGAAAGGAGGTCAGAGGAAGAGAGCATGTCAAGACCGCCTGTTTGGCTGCTCCTGGTTGGAAGGATGTGCTCTCTCATTTGGATTCCAATGGAGAGAGAAAAAGCTTTCCCATGCCATTCGAGAATATCAGAAATTGTGGCCTTTTTTTTTTTTCTTTTTTGACATGAAGTCTCACTCTGTCACTCAGGCTGGACCGCAGTGGTGCAATCTCGGCTCACTGCAACCTCTGCCTCCTGTGTTCAAGTGATTCTCCTGCCTCAGCCTCCCTAGTAGCTGGGATTACAGGCACATGCCACCATGCCTGACTAATTTTTATATTTTCACATGAGACAGGGGTTTTGCCACATTGTCAAGGCTGGTCTCAAATTCCTGACTTCAGGTGATCCCCCCGCCTCAGCCTCCCAAAGTGCTGGGATTACAGGCATGCACCACTGTACCTGGTTTGTTGTTGTTTTTTGTTTCTTATTTGATTTTTTTTGAATGTAATGCTATAAATAATCCTTATGATTTAGATCTACAGGTATTATAGAATCAATATGAATATGAAGGTATATATCAGTAGATCTATTTTTTGCCCACAGAATATCTAAGGCAATGTAAGAATCTATTTTGTAGTAACAGAGTTGAGCTCTGTTTGGGAATGTGAGCTACAGATTTCTTAGACCCTAATTGCTTTACATTAAAAAAACAAATGAACAAACAAACATGGGGATGGGGAGACACCTTGCTCATGTCATCTCGGTGGGTCACACAGTCAGTCTCCCTTGCTGAACTTTCTTATCTTTCAAATGTGAATAATAATCCCTGCTTTTCCAATCTTAATAGACAGCTGACAAGCACAGAAAGCATAATATAAAGAGACTTCGTAAAGTTAGTGGAAAAATGGAATTAAAAGATTAAAATGGAAAATATAAACTTCATTTTCAACATAAGCTTCTGACTCACATCTGTAATCTCAGCACTTTGGGAGGCTAAGGCAGGCAGATCACTTGAGCCCAGGAATTTGAGACCAGCCTGGGCAACATGGCAAAACCCTGTCTCTACAAAAAATAAAATTAAAATAGCTGGGCATGTTGGTGTGTGCCTGTAGTCCCAGCCACTTGGGAGGGAGGCTATGGTGGGAGAATCACTGGAGCCTGAGAGGTAGAGGTTACAGTGAGTGGAGATCATGCCACTGCACTCCAGCGGGGTGACAGAGTGAGACCCTGCTTCAAAAAACAAAACAAACAAAAAGCATAAGTTCCATCAAGTTCAAGACACTTTTATAAGTGATGATACCAGCCCTTTAATTCATCCCTAAGGAATTGAGGGTCCTGGGAACTTAACCATGCCAGTGCAGTCATTTTTACATTATTAACTGAAGAAAAATTGGCACCTTTTTATAATTATTTTTAAAATTGGGAAACAAAAAGAAGTCGGGGTGGACACCTAATAATTTCCTATTGAAACTCTCACAACATTGCCCTTGTGTTATGAGAGGAATGAGCAGAAGCATTGTCATAATGGAGAGGGACTCTTCGGTGAGGCTTTCCTGAGCGTTTTTCTACTAAAGCTTTGGTTAACTTTCTCAGAACACTCTCATAATAAGCAGACCTTATTGTCCTTTGTCCCTCCAGAAACTCAACAAGCAAAATGCCTGGAGCATCCCAAAAGCTGTTGCCATGGTCTTTGCTTTTGACCGCTCTGCTCATGCTTTGGCTGGATCACATCCGTCTCTTGGTAGCCATTGCTTTGATTGTGTCTTGTCTTCAGGACCATATCAGTAAACCAGTGTTTTATCTCCTGTTACATTCTTAGGAGAAATGCTTCTGGATGCTGATCCCATTTGTTAAAAAATTTCATTGAAAGCTCTGCTCTTGTCTGCAGCTGATCTGGGTACAACAGTTTTGGTGCCCATCAAGTGGAAAGTTTGTTCAACTTTAATTTTTCAGTCAGAAATGTGTAAGTTGAACCAGTTGAGATGTCTATGGTGTTGGCTATTTATGCTGTTAATCAATTGGTCCTCTTCAATTAGGGCATGAACAAGATTTTTTCCTCACAAATTGATGTGGATGGTCTGCTGCTATGGGCTTTTTCTTCAACATTGTCTCAACCCTTCTTAAAATGAGTTATCCATTTGTAAACTGCTGATTTCTTTGGTGCATTGTTCCCATAAACTTTTCATAAAGCATCAGTGATTTCACCATTCTTCTACCCAAGTTTCACCATAAATTTCATGTTTGTTCTTGCTTCAATTTTAGCAGAATTCTTGATGATCTGATATGCACTCTCTTTGAATTTATATCTTATCCTTCTTCTTCTT